TGCACATTTAGCGCTAGAAGTGCACACACAATTCCAAAATGTGATACATCTGCTATGACTCGTATAGACATACCCAACTGGTACACATACACCTGCTTGCATAGGGATACACCACATACGAATGTCGTATTGTGCATCCACTGCCACTGCTACAATCATAGCTCCACTAGTGCACGCATATCCCTCATTGAAATACTTCTACTCATATCATATATATACTTACTAATGTTTTATATAGACATACTAAATTTTTATATAGACATACAAATATCTTATATAGACATAAGAATCTTTTATACATATATAAATATTGTTTTAAATCAGTGGTTCTCAACATTCTTAATGCCGTGAACTTTAATACAGTTTCTCATGTTGTGACGACACTCAACCACAAAATTACTTTCGTTGCTTCTTCATAACCGTAAAGTATATGTGTTTTCGGTGGTCTTAGTCGACCTTGTGAAAGGGTTGTTCGACCCCTGGGGGTCGCGACCAACCAACAGGTTAAGAACCACTGTTTTCTTTAGACTAACATCACTGGTACACAAAACGCATCTACGACAAACAAGGCTACTATTGTCAGTACCGCCCTTTTCAACATATGCGGACATTCTAAACACATTTTTTGTAACAATTAGTTGTAAATTTTAACAAAAAATAAAATATCACAATGGATACATTTTTATGTTTCATTAAAGAAAGATTTGTATCATTCAGCTGTGTGAAACGGTGTTTTGAACAGAGGAAAAAAAATCTAGGCAAAAAAATCTGGCACATTGACTCAAAGAAGTAAGCACACAAAGCCATTCGCACTATGGTAGCCCACCATACTACAATCTTAAGGGGCAACAGCGCTATTTTACCTGGCAGTTTTTTTTTAGGTTAGCGTCGGCTGAAGGCCATGGATTGGTGACTTGATGTTTATATACCCCTACCTGTGCTGCTGGCTATATCGTGCTCTCTGTACCCATGGCGACATAGTGCTACCATTACCTATGGTAAATGGTTATACCTGCACCCATGGTAAATGGTTCTACCTGTACAGATGGTAAATGGTGATGCCTGTACCCAAGGTATATGGCTCTACACGTACCCATGGCTATATGTTACTACCTGTACAAAGGGCTATATGTTGCTACCTGTGCCCGTGGCTATCTGGTGTTACATGTAGCAATGGTAAATGGTGATACCACTTCTGTTGGATATTTGGTGCTGCCTGTACCCATGATAAATAGTTCTACCTATACCCATAGTAAATGGTTCTACCTATACCCATAGTAAATGGTTCTACCTATACCCATAGTAAATGGTTCTACCTATAACCATAGTAAATGGTTCTACCTATAACCATAGTAAATGGTTCTACCTATACCCGTGGTAAATGGTTCTACCTATAACCATAGTAAATGGTTCTACCTATAACCATAGTAAATGGTTCTACCTATACCCATAGTAAATGGTTCTACCTATAACCATAGTAAATGGTTCTACCTATACCCATAGTAAATGGTTCTACCTATAACCATAGTAAATGGTTCTACCTATACCCGTGGTAAATGGTTCTACCTATAACCATAGTAAATGGTTCTACCTATACCCATAGTAAATGGTTCTACCTATAACCATAGTAAATGGTTCTACCCATACCCGTGGTAAATGGTTCTACCCATACCCGTGGTAAATGGTTCTACCTATAACCATAGTAAATGGTTCTACCTATACCCGTGGTAAATGGTTCTACCTATACCCATAGTAAATGGTTCTACCTATAACCATAGTAAATGGTTCTACCTATACCCGTGGTAAATGGTTCTACCTATACCCACGGTAAATGGTTCTACCTCTACCCATGATAAATGGTTCTACCTATACCCATGGTAAATGGTTCTACCTGTACCCATGGTAAATGGTTCTACATGTACCCATGTTATATGGTTCTATCTGTACCTATGTGGTGCTACCTGTACCCATGGTATATGGTTCTATCTGTACCTATGTGGTGCTACCTGTACCCATGGTATATGGTGCTACCTGTACCCAATTTAAATTTGTGCTACCTGTACCCAAGTTAAGTTGGTGCTATCTGTACCCATGTCTGTCTGGTGTTACCTGTACCCATGAATGGATTACCTTACTTATTACTATTCTCAATCTATATAGACCTGCCTTGCTTTCAGTTGCTAATGAATGTCTATGCTATAAACGTACCAAATCTTTACAACGTAATAGATGGCATTTATGGGTAAAAGGTTTGACAGAGCTTAACGAGAGCACAGCGAGATGATGCAAAGGGAAAAAGAATCATACATGTAGGCCTATAATATCTCATTGGAATAGGGTCATTCATGGCTGGGATAGTTATGGACGACTAAATGCTATGTCGTTTATGGCTGGGATAGTTAAATACTATGTCATTTATTTCTAGGATAGTTATGGACTAAATGTTATATGTCATTTATGGCTGGGATAGTTATTGACTAAATACAATGTCATTTATGACTGGGATAGTTATGGACTAAATACTATGTCATTTATGACTGGGACGGTTATATGGACTAAATATTATGTCATTTATGACTGGGGCGGTTATATGGACTAAATATTATGTCATTTATGACTGGGGCGGATATGGACTAAATAACCAAGCCTTGTTAGTTTCTTATAGAGTAGAGCGTCTTGCGGGGGTAGAGGTGATTGGAATGTGTCGTCTCTTAGAGTTGTCGTGTCTTGCATTAGAAAATCGTCTTATAATAACTTATAGGTTTACGGAGTCTGAGCAGGTATAGAGTAGCATAGAAGCATAGCGTCTAATAGGAGTATAGGGTCTTATAGAGGTAGAGTCTTATAGTGAAGCATAGCGTCTTATAAAAGTATAGCGCATTATAGAAGTTTAGTAACTTATAGAAGCTTAGTATTTTTAAAGAAATAATTTAGTATGTTACAGAAATATAACCCCTTGAAGTGTGCGAGCTGATGTAGAATCGTATGATACAGAATCGTATGATATAGACTCTTATGATACAGAATCGTTATATATACAGAAAGTATATAAAGAATCGTATGATATAGATCGTATGATATAGAATCATATGATATAGAATCGCATGATATAGACTCTTATACTCTTATGATACAGAATCGTATATACAGAACAGTATATAAAGAATCGTATGATATAGATCGTATGATTATAGAATCGTATGATACCGAATCGCATGTTATAGAAAAGTATGCTATAGAATCGTATGAATTGTATGATATATAATCGTATTATTTAGAATCGTATGATATAGACACACAAAATATAGATTCATTTACAAATTGTACGTATACTTTTGAATGGGTATAAAACAAGGTGTAAAGTGTAGTAGTGGTATATCGTGTCGTGTATATTTCTGATAGTGAATTTTTTTTCTTTTAATGAAAGTGAATTTAAGTTCTTTTCATCCACGTGCTTGTACAGTTTATTAATACTGGACCGATCCGATTGCCGGAAGTCATTTTTGGAGTGAGGCATGTCAGACTTATCGAAGGATAATAACACTATTGGCCGAGGAGTTGGTCAAAGTTGCTCTACAATTAAAACATTCAAAACAAAAGGAAAGGGAAACTGAGCGGCTTTGGTTTGAGAATAAGAGGGAGAATAAAGCGACACCAACTCACCATTAGCGTGTGTCGCCTGGCACAGTTCACTGATCTGACACCAGCTCACCGTTAGCGTGGGTCGCCTGGCAAAGTTCACTGATCCAGTTGGAAATATCGAGCAGTGCCTCTTTGTCCACGTTGTCGTAGTCGTAGTTGCTGTGCACCGACCCATCGGTCTCAGAGCTGCCGGTCGACGTGGTGCTGCACAAGCTCGGCGCCGGGGAATGCACCATGTTTAGTCCGTGAAACACGCCCATGTGGTTCGAGCTCCTCGACTCGGTGAAGGACGGGTCGATGCTCTTCAAATGTTCGTGCCGTATCGATTTGTAATAGCTCTGGAGCAGGTTGAAGTCTGCCTGACTGTCGATGCGGTTCATGTTGAAGTCGCTGCTGTACGAGTGCAGCGTCGGCGGTGATGGCGGGACGTCCATGCTGGAGTTACCGACGAGTCCGTTGGGGTCCGCGTCGTGTTCAGATCCTGTCGTGTCGGGGGACAGGTCGATGGCGTTGTCGTATTTCGTGTCGGGGGACATGTCCATGGTGTTGTCGTATTGCTCCTCGGCCAGCGACACGGGTGAGAGCTGGGCGAAGGCTGTGGTCGAGCTGTTAGCGTTAAGAAACGATTTGATGACGTTGTTGTTTGAAAGAGCCAAGTTGGCAGGGCACGCCAAATGAACCCCTCGGACGGGTGACAGATCAAAGGTAGGTTTCTGGTCTTGACATAAGGCCATTCGAATCTGATCATGTTCTTGTTTCTGAAGCTGTCGTTGAATTTGTTGCTGCTGCTGCTGGGGCTGGAGTTGCTGTTGGGATTGCAGCTGTTGTTTCAGAACACTAGTGCCCCGAGTGGGATGAGAAGTAAGTCCACGGGTCAGCTGTTGCTGAAGAACAGAGATGTTTTCCTTTTTAAGAATTAAGGGCTGCGCCTTTTGTCGCACTGTTGAAGAAGTTGGCGAAGATTGCGACACTTGCTGGCTGAAGACAACTGTTGATGGAGATTGCGACACTTGCTGATTGAACACAACATTTGGTGAAGATTGTGACACTTGCTGATTGAACACAACATTTGGTGAAGATTGTGACGACTGCTGGGGGAACACAGGTTTCGGTGAAGATTGTGACACTTGCTTCGTGTACACAGCTGTCGGTGACGGCGGGAGAGATGTCGGCTCTGGCGTGTTTTGACTCGGGTGTTGCATAAAATGACACATTTGGACCGTCTTCGTCTCCGGACTACTCACGCCCATGTCAGTGTCATTGTCACTCATGGAACACACGCTGTTGTCCAGCGGACTGTCCGGCTCGTGGTCATCTATCAAGTTGCTGGGTGAGCCGAGAGCGGGGAGCTCCCCGTGCAAAATCATGTACAGGTCTTTGATGTACTGCGCAGCGGATCTCAGAGTCTGAACTTTAGACATCTTTTTGTTTTTCTTTCCGTTGGGGACGTGCTCGCGAAGTGTCTCGAACCCCAGGTTGACCTGCTTCACCCGGTTCCTCTCCCGGGCGTTCCTCCTGGACACGGACGCCGGCTTAGCTTCGGGCAGGCCGAGCTTGCTCAGGTCCGTCCGTCGTTTGACTCTGAGAGCGCCAGCGGGCTGCTCCGGCGGTTTGCCGATCTTCTTATCCTGCCTCAGAGCCTGCATCTGCTCCGCGACCGTGGCCGTCTTGACGAAAATGTATGGCGTGATGGTGATGACGTTGTTGCTGGGGTCGTGGAAGGCGCTGACGGGGATGCTGATGGTCGACACGGAGGACGAGTTGTTCGGTGACGAGGATGGTGTCGAAAACGACAGAGAAGTCGCGGATCCCTTGGATAAAGACGGCAGCACTGGCTTGGCCGTGGCCATGGCTATGGCTGCGGGCATGGTGTAGCTGCTATCGATCTCCCAACAACTACCTGTTGGATGACATGTGAAGGAAATCATACAATCAATGATTCAACAAGTTACCTTTGGAAACACGACTTAAACATAAAAACAATACGTTTTTTTAAAAAAAAAACATTGTGTGTGAATTGACTGAAACTATTTCTTTGACAGTTGACAGGGTATCTGAGACTTATAAAAGGTAATTGATCACTTGAAATAGAAATATAAAAGTTGTTGACATCCTTAATTAATGTATCAATATTGACTACTAACCAGCCTTGTTTTTTTTTTGTGTGTCTCTCGCTCTCTCTCTCTCTCTCTCTCTCTCTCTTACTTTCTCTGGGACAAACTCCTACAAGTTAATACTCTCCATCCGGAGCATCAAGTGCGACTGCCACGAGCCTCGTCTGACGTCGCTCAATACGCGTGCGGTTGGCGTCCGGGTGTTGGGGTCGCGTGCTCCCCCCTCCCCCCCCTCCCCCGTCCCCTACCGTTCGCGATCGCGAGGAGCCAACATCCTGTTCAACCAGTAGCGGGGCAGGAAGGCGTGTTCGTTACTAAAAGCCCCGCCTCCTGACCACGCCAGTCATAGTGTTGGACTTCCCCCACCATCATCAGGTACCCCCCATCCCAACCGTATAAAAGTGGTATTAGAAATTCGAGTTGTAGTATTACGGCCACCACCCTCCCTCCGAACACCCATCTTAAATTAAAAAAAAAAAATAAAAAAATCACGACCCCCTAACGTCCCAATTTAAAAAAAAAAAAGTTGTCACCCCATGTCGTGTGCTGAACGCGTGGCAAGCGTTCCTTATCAAACATTAGATTCACACAAACCTTATAAGAAGTTGTGCCATAAGGCCCTTAGTGTCAAACATTAGATTCACACAAACCTTATAAGAAGTTGTGTCATAAGGCCCTTAGTGTCAAACATTAGATTCACACAAACCTTATAAGAAGTTGTGTCATAAGGCCCTTAGTGTCAAACATTAGATTCACACAAACCTTATAAGAAGTTGTGCCATAAGGCCCTTAGTGTTAAACATTAGATTCACACAAACCTTATAAGAAGTTGTGCCATAAGGCCCTTAGTGTCAAACATTAGATTCACACAAACCTTATAAGAAGTTGTGCCATAAGGCCCTTAGTGTCAAACATTAGATTCACACAAACCTTATAAGAAGTTGTGCCATAAGGCCCTTAGTGTCAAACATTAGATTCACACAAACCTTATAAGAAGTTGTGTCATAAGGCCCTTAGTGTCAAACATTAGATTCAAACAAACCTTATAAGAAGTTGTGTCATAACATTAGATTCACACAAACTTATTATTTTAATTTTTTTTTTGGTTATGATCTAACCCCAAGCCCTCATTCCCACCCAGCCAAAAGCCCAGAGAATCATGTATCTTTCACGGTATTTGAGTTCACATCTTGAATCTTGCAGGATACATAAGTTCACATCTTGTATCTTCCACTGTACATACGTTGACATGTTGTGTTTTGCACTGTATATGAGTTCACATCTTGTATCTTGCGTGGTATATCAGTTCACATATTGTGTCTTGCACGGTAAATAAATGTCACATCTTGCATCTTGCACGGTAAATAAGTTCACATCAGGTATATTGCACGGTAAATAAGACAACATCCTAAAGATATTTACATTTTGAACAAAGCAGGACTAGAGACACTACTGGTTAGGTTTCTAGTATAACACACCATCTTAGTTTTCTGCTATACGCGCCGGTGCTTCTTACGCACTTATGTCAATGTCTGGTACTATGGAACACCTTCTTAGTACTCTGTCAGATGCTATCAAAAACACCTTTTTACTTTCTGCATGGTACTTTTAGACACATCTCGAGTACTCTATCAGGTACTTTTAATACACAACCTTAGTATTCTGCCAGGTTCAGGTACTTTCAAGCATTCCCTTATTTGTTAGGCACTTTTAAACACCCTCCGAGTACTCTCTCAGGTACTTTAAGACACTCTCTTACCTGTCAGATAAGGTGTGGTCACAGAAATTTAGACATTTTGTATTGAAAAGTTTGAACCACTCCAATTAATGTCTTTTTTTTTTAAAATGAAAAACAACATCAAAACCTACTTATTCAGCCTGCTAATATCAACTTGCATGCATCTGGCAGCTAGTCTCAGCCTGCTTGTATCAGCCTGTTGCCTCAATTTGATTGTATCAGCCTGCTAATCTCAGCCTGCTTGTATCAGCCTGCTAGTCTCAGCCTGCTTATATCAGCCTGCTAGTACAGCCTACTTGTATCAGCCTTCTTATAGCAGCCTGCTTGTACAGCCTGCTAATCTCAGCTTCTTGTATCAGCCTCCAGTCTCAACCTGATTATATCACCCTGTTAGTTTCAGCCATTATCCATGCTAAGTAATAAACCAAGTAATACTTATTCTAAAAGTCTATTATTGATTGACTTGTATATGATGAAAGGGTTGGATGTCAGGACAAGTCTCTTAGATGCCCCTGCAGATCTCGTTATGTGCTTCACATTTTTATAGGCATAAGTTACATCAATGACCAAATGTAACGGCCAACTTATTGTGATGATAAAATGACATGACCAACTTATCGTGATGATAAAATGACATGACCAACTTATTGTGATGATAAAATGACATGACCAACTTATTGTGATGATTAAATGACATAACCAACATATTGTGATGATAAAATGACATAACCAACATATTGTGATGCACTGATCTGCTCGGTCTGATGTTTTACATTTATACTTCCATTTGCTTTCATCGTAATCATCTTCGTTTTATCGGTGCTTCTGAACAAGAGTGACACAAGGCGCACTCGTTTTATCGGTGCTTCTGAACAAGAGTGACACAAGGCGCACTCGTTTTATCGGTGCTTCTGAACAAGAGTGACACAAGGCGCACTCGTTTTATCGGTGCTTCTGAACAAGAGTGACACAAGGCGCACTCGTTTTATCGGTGCTTCTGAACAAGAGTGACACAAGGCGCACTCGTTTTATCGGTGCTTCTGAACAAGAGTGACACAAGGCGCACTCGTTTTATCGGTGCTTCTGAACAAGAGTGACACAAGGCGCACACGTTTTATCGGTGCTTCTGAACAAGAGTGACACAAGGCGCACTCGTTTTATCGGTGCTTCTGAACAAGAGTGACACAAGGCGCACTCGTTTTAACGGTGCTTCTGAACAAGAGTGACACAAGGCGCACTCGTTTTATCGGTGCTTCTGAACAAGAGTGACACAAGGCGCACTCGTTTTATCGGTGCTTCTGAACAAGAGTGACACAAGGCGCACACGTTTTATCGGTGCTTCTGAACAAGAGTGACACAAGGCGCACTCGTTTTATCGGTGCTTCTGAACAAGAGTGACACAAGGCGCACTCGTTTTAACGGTGCTTCTGAACAAGAGTGACACAAGGCGCACTCGTTTTATCGGTGCTTCTGAACAAGAGTGACACAAGGCGCACTCGTTTTATCGGTGCTTCTGAACAAGAGTGACACAAGGCGCACACGTTTTAACGGAACACCAAGAGTGCAGCGTGTGTAGCACCAACAATAAACGCTGACGCAGATCACGTGACAACGATTCATTGTCCACATTCATCAATACCAGATGCCACTTCTTGCTCCCCGATGAAAGGCCCGATACCCGACCGTAACTATCTGTGCTCTGTTATTGTCAAGTGGCCTGACTTAACTACCGGTTCTCTGATGTAATGTATGTGACCTGACCTAACTTTAACTACCGGTTCTCTGAGGTAATGCTTATTACCTGACCTAACAACCGGTTGTCTGATGTAATGCTTGTTACCTGACCCAACGATCGGTTCTCTGGTATAAGGCCTGTGAGCTGACCTAACTACCGGATCTCTGATGTAATGCTTGTTACCTGACCCAACTACCGGTTCTCTGGTATAAGGCCTGGGACCTGACCCAACTACCGGTTCTCTGGTATAAGGCCTGGGACCTGACCCAACTACCGGTTCTCTGGTATAAGGCCTGGGACCTGACCCAACTACCGGTTCTCTGGTATAAGGCCTGGGACCTGACCCAACTACCGGTTCTCTGGTATAAGGCCTGGGACCTGACCCAACTACCGGTTCTCTGGTATAAGGCCTGGGACCTGACCCAACTACCGGTTCTCTGGTATAAGGCCTGGGACCTGACCCAACTACCGGTTCNCCCCCCCCCCCGAAAATCTGAAGCCCACCCCACCCCGGGGAAAATTTCTGAAAGAAACACTGCTGACATGTTACCAGACCTAGCTGGTCGTTTCCTAATGTACTGACATACTACCTGACCTAGCTGTTTCCGGATTTATCGCCATGCCCTTTGACCTACAGCTGATCCCTCGGCAGGCCATACGATACGAGCCTATGACGTCGAATCTCCGTCTGCTGCTTATAGCACTGAAAGGGGCCGCAACGCTGGTAACCTGAACGTCTCCTAGGCACCCCTTCAGAGTCAAAACTGTTGTTTCGATTCTGTTGTAACTATACTGTTGTTACGATACCGTTGTTACGAATATTAGCAGTAAAGTTAAAGTAAAATGCTAGACATACTAATAGAAATATGGGGTGAAGTTAACATAGCATGGCAGACACAATTGCTGGAAATAAGCAGTCAACTTAAAAGGAAGTTAGTTTGAACGGAAAATAGTTTGAACGGAAGTTATTTTGAACGGGAGTTAGTTTGAAAGGCATTT